ATGGCTGCCACCTATTCCCTTCCTCCCTGGATGGACCTTTTGTGGAGTCTGATTCCACTCCTCGTTGTACTGGACTGTAACTCATTTTGACCAGCAAAGTGTGTTAAAAGTGACACTGCCAATGCCAGGACTAACCTCTAAGACACAAGTAGTGAAATCTCTTTGTCTCAGTATGCTTCTATAAACTCAATTTTTTTTGATAACAGAGGATAACTTCTCTGTAGTTGTTACTCTGTTCTTTATTTCTTGTATAGATATATTGCGTTTACTTTAGGTGTTGAATATATAAGTGCAGTACAGAAAGAAGTAAATGCCCATTTTTTGAGGACATCACTTCAACTACTTGGTTGAGAAGGAAGCATTCTGGTGTGAAGAAGCCCCTTTGTGAGGATGGTATTGTGGCATGGCAGGTTAAGACGCCACCTGTGATGCTGGCATGCCATATGAGCACCAGGTCATGTCCCAAAGGCTTGACTTCTGATCCAGCTCCCCTTCAATGCCCTGTGAAAGGAGAGGAGGAAGCCCAGGTAGTTGGACCCCTGCACCCTTGTGGGAGATCTGGAGGAGGCTTCTGGCTCCTGACTTTGACCTGGCCCAGCCCTGTCTGTTACGACATTTTGGGGAGATAATCGGTGGAAGGGAGATTTCTTTCTCTGTCCTCCTCTCTCTGTAACTCTGCCTTTCAAATAAATAAATAAATCTTTTAAAAAGAAGCCCTTTTGTTTCCATATGAAAAAGGAAGATTGTGCTCTGAGTACCAATTTTTACAAAAGGAAGCCCAAGGAGCAGTGGTTTAGAGCAAGTCCTCTGGTGTTTAACGCTCCCAGAGACCCCTAGAGCGTCCTTCATTCTGAAGGCAGGCAGAGGCAGACAGGTACCTGACAGGCTGACATGCAACAAAGTGTCCTGATTTGAGGAGCTTGTTTTCTTGCATGAGCAGCTGAACCTGCCTTTCTAGCATAGTGGTGACACCATGAGTGCAAATTGATCCACTTGTGTGTGATATTATGATTCAAAAGGCTCTTTAGGTGAGATTGCTTGATTTCATTTGAAGGCTATGACAGTGGTTTACAGGACCAGCCACTGGGGCTGGAGCTGTGGTGTAGTTGGCAAAGCTGTCACCTGCAGTGCCAGCATCCCATATGGGTGCCGGTTCGAGTCCTGGCAGCTCCTCTTCTGATCCAGCTCTCTGCTATGGCTTGGGAAAGCAGTGGAAGATGGCCCAAGTCCTTGGGCCCCTGCACCTGCGTGGG